AAATTTATATAAAAACCACAAATCTCCGTCTCGCGGAAAATGGGATTGTTCACATCACTTCCCGATTCTCAAACACATTTTGCATTTGAATATAGCCTACGTAAAAGCTCACCAATTTCTCCTTTTAATGGAAACACGTTTTGCCTACAATTTATTTTATAGAGAATACATTTTTAAAAACAAAAGGTTCTCAAAACAAGGGTTCAATAAAGATAGTGTCACACTCACAAAAATAATGACTGACTTGCTTTAAAAATCGATATTGCCTTAGCTGTAAACTTTAAAAAGTATGTAGAAACCCCCTACTTCGATTTTTATCAGTATTTAGACTCTATTAAGGAATATTTTAGAATACAGCTAGCAGGTGTTTACCAAAATATTGATCTGTTAAGACAAAGTGATCCAAGCCATTGTGCAAAAGCTCAATAGTCTATGTTCGATAGCTTAGGAAGTATTTGACAATAAGTTGCGCCGCGAATTTTTGACCTCATTATAAGAAAATCGTCAAAGTATCAAATACGATGTATAGATCTATTCATACCACTGATTAAAGAAAAAAAAGGACAACAAACCAAAACAACAACAACAGCAAGCAACCAAAAAAAAAGGAACGAACAAATAATGAAAGAAATACTAGACATAAGTGATTTTTAAGAATCTACTCAACTGACACAATTTGATTCATCTCTTCCCGTGAGAATTTCCCCGCCCACATTCCCTCCTCACATTGCGCCTCGCCATACATTACACGCCTCCCACACCCCACACCCCACACCCCACCACCAGCCCCTTTCCTGATCGAAACACTTTCACATTGCTTCTTCCGCCAAGGTCTCGACTTCAATAATTTCGTTCATTTTCTTTTTAGAGGTAAAGTTACTAGTTAACTTCACAAAACAGAAACAAAACAAAAGAGAGAAAAAAAAAGAAAAAACTAAAAGGAATCAACCCTACACCCACGAGGAGAAATACGTACGATCTTATTCCAGTCTTGAACTTTGCTGTATCTACTGGTCAATTGGCTCAATCCTAACATCGCCAAGGGCATCTTTCTTTTAATGAAAGTTACGGGTAGATTTCCCAAGCTTACGGGGCGAGTCTAAATGCAATTACGTGAAAAAAGGGCCTTGCCCAAAGCTGGAACAAACTCACAAACCTACTGACATTATCTTTGTTGTAAATTCCTTCCCCACCCACTTGAAAAGCCCCCCCCCCCCCCTCCCCCCCAAGAATTTTCCAGTATCCTTGTAGGCGAATTTAGAGGAAGTTTCTTCTGGTCAGTAAAAGTAGGGAAAATATCCTTACACGTACTTGATGATCGCTTCAAGGGCTGGGATATTTTTCAAAATCGAGTCTCTTCGTCTTTGGCGGGACGTGGTCTCCCTTTAGGCCATGGTTGGCCCTGGTAGGCATGGTCAAAAAGCACCATTTGAATTATTTAAATTGTGTCGATGGGGGCGTAGAAACATCGACGTTAATTTTTATTTTCACTGTGCTACTATTTACTTCTTAGTGCTCTTTCGTGAGTGTAACATGTAACGACTGAACAAGCTAGGCACGTATTTTTAGATTGATGCAACAATATTATTTGTTTGTCATAACTTCAGCTGTCTGTTGTCAACTCAAGTACAGATCCCTATCAACCATTATCTTTTAAGAAGATCAAATATGTCACGACCTGATGGAATCAGATGTTCGTCAATTATTTTTAGGCAAATGGAGTTATTGGTATTATCTTCAAGCTTGTTCATTTTCCTTGATTTTGAAGAAAATAAACTATCCGTCTATCTTGAACAGAAGTCGCGATATTCGCAATTGGATGAGTTGGGGATTGCCAAATGTCAAAAGCAAAATTAGCCAGCAAATGGAGGCCACAGTTTACTGACTTCAAAAGGGTGAGTGTCCTTGGAAACTACACATTTTTTTGTGCTTATGATAAACGTTTTTCAGTAACACCCACACAAGAATGTGACATAACGTTTTTGAGAGAAAAAAATCGACAAAAGTTTCCCACCTAGCAAGAAAATGCCGGTTTCTTTCATTTAATTATTTTGACGAGCGCCTGATATCACGACCATGCCTCACAAATTGTTTCCACTCACGCACGGTCCCCATCTCGTTTGACAGATCACCTAATCTTGTCTTTATTTCAAAGTTAGTATTTGTGCTCTTAAGAGTTCCGTTTTTATTTTTTGTCTGAATCTCAGGGGGCGAAGGCTGACATGTTTGACAGGGTAATCAGAGAGAGACAAATAACCAGACAGAGTTGAACCCTCACTCGAAAATCTGCTTTCTCACAATAGGAACATAGTTAACACTGTCGTTTGATGTGGCATCTCTGAGTTCTGAATGAAAAATCCCGAATTCAAATGAGCACCAGACAAAACAATCGAGGAAATAGCATCTCCTTTAATGTGCACTCCTGCTTTGGGCAAAGCACAATTATAACTTTTAAACCTGTTGTTGGTAAAACGGTCTCAAAATTTAAATTTTTTTTTTATTAATCCAAAAATCTTTCTTCGTGTATGGATGAAATTGACTGCGATGATGTTCCCAAAAAGGGAAGCAGTGATTATTTGATTATGTAGACATTTCGTCCCTGTAGTCTCCTTTTTCAAGGATTATACGTACAAAGGTGCGAACTTCTTCATTTGTGAATCTGCAGTATTGTCTGGATTACAATGAGACCAAAGGGAGAATTAGTAGAGCTTGGTACGGGCACAATATAATCCAAAATGACATCTTTTTAAATTGATGTTAATGCACCAATAGTGAAAGTTTCTGACCTTTGGAGTTATTTGTACAATCAAGGTTTGTGAGTACGTAGTTTCAAAAGGAGCTTGGCAAAATCTGAATCGTTAAAACTGTCTGAGGAAAGGATCAATCACCCATGAACCAAACCCGATTGTGAAATGCTGTAGTTTCTAAGCTCTTTTGCAGAATGGTTCAGAGGAAGAGAAAAACTGAAGTGGGACAGTGTGGAAAGAGGAGGGGGGGATCGTTAAAATGTTTGTTGGGTTGTGAGGAAGTAATGAGATGGTGTTCAGTGGAAAGAGAGAATGACAATACGAGGTTATTATGCGTGTTTTAAGATTGTGCCATATTCAAACGTACGTCTAATAAATTAAAACTAATGCTATAGTACTGGCTTAGCTTAGCTAACATTGGATTAGAATTTGGAGAAACAAAAAAGAATCGTGAGCTAGGACACTTTGAATGACGTTTTTAAATTTCCTGAACACCAGTACTGACCCAAATCAGACCACAAGCTTTTTTTTTCATGTTACTTACGGTACAAACCTATTTGCCCGAAATCTGGACAATCAGAAAATGAATGCTTGCGCCAATATCCTCCTTGGATAACATAGGTAAGATGTAGATTTAAGACCACTTTCAACACTTTGATGAGACAGGACCAAGAAGGTTAAGAGCCAAAAAAAATATTTTTTTTTAAAATTCCGCACAAAAACCAAAGTCATGAACGACAGGAAGGATTTGAGCGAGGTTAATCCGCGCCACAGTCCTTCATAATACTAACTGAGCGAATAGTGCTACCAACTTTGTCTGCATTCAGTCTTGCAGAAGTAACACTTTTCAACCCGTATCAAGTTGCAGAGAAACCGGTGGCTTTTTCGTGTAATTCTCTTTTGTTTACACCCACTGTATGTTTGGAGCTGATCATGAGGACAGCCAGATTATGATACTAATAATAGATAGCATTTGTACAGCGCATATCCCCACTCAACAGCAGGCTCTATGCGCTTTACACTACACTATTATCCCAGCAGACCATAGAACACTCCGAAACATTCTCAGCTTCCCGTGAAGCATACAGTGCAAGCAGCTGATTAAGCGCTCAAACATTAACAAACTGACAAGATCTTTCGCTGTCTTTAGCCGGGTACCCATTCCCACCTGAGTGACGTGGGGAAAATTCTTGTAAAGTGCCTTTCCCAAGGACACAACGTCGGGCCCCTGGCGGGACTCGAACCCACTACCTTACGGTTGCGAGTCCGAGAGCCTAACCACTAGGCCACCGATGAAGGCGGGGCGGAAGGGACAATAAATAAAGCTGAGGGATGGACCTTGAATCTGAGTGGGTTTTTTTTGTAGAACTGAGCGGCTGCCATTCACATCGACCCCTCCCCCCCTCTCTCTGTCTCTCTCTTGTATAATATAAATGTATCTCAATGGGAGAGAGAGAGAGAGAGAGAGAGAGAGAGAGAGAGAGAGAGAGAGAGAGAGAGAGAGAGAGAGAGAGAGAGAGAGAGAGAGAGGGGGGGGGGGAGGGTCGAAAATCTAATTCGTGTGGTTGTGAGAGAGCAGAGTTAAGAGACAGTTCAACCATTCTTTGTGGTTCTGCAGTTGCCTAACCACACTTAATGCATTCTCGTACGTATGACAGTGTGACTGCCTTCATGGTCACTCGTGACAAATGACTTTTTCTCTTTTATTATTCTAAATCTGGTTCACGGGAAAATGAAAAATGTGATTCAGCTCCAATTTCACCATAATCACCACTCATTTCTGAGCTATAACTATAAATACAAATTAAAACAAGTTCCTTGTCAAAGATTGGGTTGAGTTGGTGAATTATAGCTTTTTTTCTCAGCTTCAGGTTGCATCAGTCCCGCTTTGCACTCAGCACAAGGCTGCAAAGTCGGGAACAGATACTACACTCTGATCTTAGCCAAAAGGCCGAGAAGCCATGGTGAATTAGTTCTATAACTAAAGTTATTCCTCCCAAAAATGTTACTTTGAAGATAGATGGTCTACAAAATATGTTTGTGTAGCGTTTACATCTAAACAAAAACAAATCCAAACAAATTGTTCTACTAATGTAAAGGCAAAATAAATAATAAAAGTCTAGTTGAGGTCTCTATTTGAAACTTACTTGAGCTACAAGGCACAATTGAGGCCCTAGCTCTGTGCGGGACCGACAGAGGTGAAGAGAAGAAAGGAGGCCTCAACTAGACCTTTCCCAAACAACGTGTACTTACCAATTCATTCATGTTTGAAACTTTTTGTGGGTGTGACTCAGTGGCAACTAAACGTCTGTAGTAGTTGTGGATGTACAGCAGGTTTTCGATGTCGGAATCGGACAAACAGGACACAACGGACAGCAGACAGGCTGGGGAAATTGAAAAGAAAATACATGTAGCATTTTTGTCACATGGCTTTAATATATACAATTTTTATCATGAAGAGCTTTTCTTGTTTAGGTTGTATGCTTCCCAGGAAGTTGAGGTTGTTTCAGAATGCTCTCAGGTCTGCTGGGGTAATAATATAGATTGTGAAGCCTATAGAGCTTGCTGTTGAGCGGGGATTTGCGCTATACAAATGCTATCTATGATGATGATGATGATGATGATGATGATGATGATGATGATGATGATGATGATAATCTGTTCGCCGTGCTCACACAGATCGTTAGCTCAGCTGGTAACATGTTGGACTTCAACACGGATGGCCCTGGTTCGAGCCCCAGACTCGTGGTCTTGATAACAGGTCGTTTTCAAGACTAAACCCGTTGGCTCGGTCTTATCGCAGGCAAACGTTAAATTTGGAGGTCCCGGCTCTTAAAGTTGATACAGGCGTTAAACATTATACACTTTATCTACACAGGATGTGAGCTGGATACGTATTTACCTAGATTCAGAAAGAAGCAAGCTAGAAAGTTGAAATTTGACACCCATAATGTTACTTTTCTATTTAGTCACCCTGCAATCTGACACATTTTGTTTTGCGATCTTTGTTTGACCTTCAAAAGTCCTTGAGCATAACACGACCTCGGATGGGAACTCAAACCGTTCCTCCGAGCAGATAACATTTTTATCACAATGGAAACATTGTTCTTTGAGAACATTTGTTAGATCTGGGAAGATTAACGAATCAGAGAGTGCTACGATACGGTCAATGCGGTGAAAGTGGGAGAATTCTGTAACCATACTGCGCTCCTTTCTGAGTTGCCTTCAACTCTTTTTGTGCTGACGAATCGTCGTGCAGCAGGAAGATTCCTTATCGTAGCTTCCCTCATCCTTTCTTGAGCGGAGTAGATCATAATTTCATCAACAATGCTGGATTATTGTCCCCTGTGACGGTATGGCCATTTTCTAAGTAGCCTGTTATGATGACACCCTCAACCCCCTCCCCCCTTAAAAAAATCACTCCCCCCCCCAAAAAAAAGAAAGAAAAACCAGAACAGCATAACATAAACTTTCCACTTGAATGTAACACTTTGATTTCTTTGGCGATTGGATAAAAAAGTTTTCCTCTGCTTCGATGAAGATTTTTATTCAGGATCAAAATGATAAGCCCACATTTCAACATTTGTTACAGCTCGATCCAAACACGTATCTTTCGATTTTGATTCACCGAGTTCTTTGCAACATTTAACTATTTGTTGTTTCTGTTCTGACATCAAAAGACAAGGAACCCATCGAACCGGTACCTTGGATATGTAAAGACTTGTTGCGAATGCCAACTGTTAAGAAGTTATTCGTCAATCTTCAAGTGCCAGTTTCTTTATTAGTCCCATGTCTCCCTCTGTAACAAAAACGACTGGACCCTCTTCTCGTGGGGTATCAAGAACAAACACACATCCTGATTAATTGTTGATAATCCTTGTCCATAATTCAACACTTTCATGAGAAGGGCATTCAGCTAGGTAAGCAATTAACATCTCCTCAAAACTATCGCCCGTAATTTTCTCCGCAAATAAAGAAATCTGATAACAGAGCTATATTCAAAGATTCCCTAGCTGATTTTGTAGTTTAAAAAAAAATGAAAATAGCTTACCTTTATGTATTTAAAAACTACGCCCACTAAAAGTGCCTGCAAGTTCACATCTCTCGTCGGATTTTCTCTAAACTCCACAAGCAGCGTTCCAGAACGAAATAGATAAATCATATTTTACAAAAGTTTCATTGTTATACGACAATTCCAGCATAGTCAGGGTAAAGACACTGCGTCTGCGGCTATCATAATCGGTTACTATAATGAGGCGATTTCCGCATTGAGCCTATTGTGATGATTTTTGTTATCGCTAATTAGACCCTGTCAACCGTGGTTAAGTAAACTGTAACAGAAAAGAGAATGCTCATAAGCCAATTGCAATAGACAGAATTGTCACGTTTAACCCAGCCTTGCTTTTAGAGGCGTTGGGGGTGGTGTTTGGGAAAATGGGGTGGTGGGGAGGTGGGGGGGGGGTGATGAAGTATAACACGGTTGGATATGTTGGTGGAGGAAATGTAAGCGTAATATGAAAGGGGGGTGGGGTGAGTTATTAATTTTCTAAACAAGGTTGGGGGGGGGATGACTAAGGTCGTAAGGACAATGGTGTCGATTAAGAAATGGCCCCCGGAAACATGGCGCACTCGGCCATCAATAATTAAGTTATAGCGGCACCAGCCATCCATGTCCAGGCGCTGTTTTAGCCAAACATGGCGCACGAGAAGTTATTGAGATGGT